AAATCGCAACTCTTATGGTTACCGAAATTATTTCCCGTCCCTTTTGATGTTTCTGGTAAATGCTGGCACTTTAATGGTTTGTTTCACTCACAAAATGTTATTTCTGCGCGAAAGTCGTTAAATAAAAAGAAAGAAAAAGAAAATAGAATAAGACATGCATAATAATTACATACGCACAAAATATCGCAACTGTCGTGATACTTAAGCAAAATTATGTATGGTCCCTTTTTGTCAAAGGTCAATGCAGGCATTAAAATGTCTAAGTTCCTGTTGATTCACCTTCCACAAAATATTCCTCATGTGCGAAAGCCATTTCTTTAAGTGCAAGTTTTCAGTCACGAGTGGATCGTTTCAAGCTTTTCCAAGTTAGTATTAACATACAAAACTCTATATTCTCTGGTAATTGAAAGCAAAAAAGTTCTAGATCATCTTTATCCATATTTAAACCCCATACACAACACCAACTTCACTCGTAATGTACAATTGCTCGTTTTTATGTCCATTATTTAAATCAAACATATCACAACACAATCATATCGCAACAAAACTGGCATTGAAGAGGACTTCCTTCTCTTGAGTCAACGAGAAACTACTAGTCAGACTCTATGATGACTATTCACTAAAAACGAAACCATTTGGTTCCTTTTGTGAAATTATATGGATCCGTGTATTGAAAAAGCTTATGATATAACTTAGACACAACATGTGCTAGGTTGGTCAAAATCTGTCGTTTATTGTGCTGGTCTCCTAGAAAACTGGAAAACCTTCATGTGCTCATAAATGGCGCTTCACGAGACGAATTCCCATATTTTAATTTGTTAAACGCCTTTGGTTGGAGAAACGAAAAAGACGCTTTGACCACCGAAATCAACAATAAATATTTTATTTTTCTACCATTTAAGAAATTTTATGTTTAAAAGTAGTTTAACTAACTGGTTGCACCGTTTTAAGCCTTTATTTTTTGCTGCGCGGTAAAAGCGAAAGAACTTCAGAAATTCTCGATTAGATTTTCCCAAATTGCTCTCCAAGAAGAAAAAGGATCTTCCTCTGGTATACTAGCATTTTCTGATTTCGAATATAATCAAAACGAAATTGAAAAGCTCTGAAACATCAAGCGAGACAAGGAAGCCCCAATTTTTTTTCGTATACACTTTGTTGAAAACTTCGTCGAAGTCATCCATTTAGATATGTGAATAAGCAAGTAAATGACGTTGTTAACCACAAAATGGGTGTCCTGTGCAAGTTCTCTTCATTAGTATTCACCAGTCATAAATTTGTAACAAATGACACTTAATGTCTATTTGCATAATTATTTTAGAGAGGGCGCTCGAAATGACATTAGCATCTTGAAGAGGCATTGGCCAGAGGCAACGAAATCGCTTTCTCTTTAATCTGAGAAAAATCAAAAGGGTTTTGCCATGGAATCTGACGATAGCAGTGAAGCGGGTAAAGCGGCTAAGAATGAAGAACCTGCTGAAAATGGCAGTGAACGGCTTATCACAATCGCGGCGTTTTTCGCATTTGGTTTTATCTTGTACTCCGTCTATTCTTTGCTGATTGCCGCTGCTGAAGACATTCTACGCGGCAGTGACATTCCAACTTCAGCCGTGATATCATGTATTGTCGGACCGTACGTGTTTATAACTCTCATATCTCCGTATTTTGCTCAGAACGTTCCGTACCTGCCTCGTGTTATAGTGGTGTTTATACTGTACGAAGCAGGATTGTTTAGTTTGGTTTACGTAACAGACGTTCGAGCGAAGTTACTCTCTGTTTGCTTGGTATCGTTTGCCTTCGGCGTGGGTGAAATGTCGAGTATAGCCATGACATCGTTTTATAATCCTGTGGTTGTTGGAGTATTTTCGGCGGGTACTGGTGTTGGATTCATAACAGCTCCCCTATATTACACAGGTATATGAAATATAACTGGTAAATAAGCTTCGTTTAACTGAATCCCGACTACACATTCAAGCAAGCTCTTTTTAAAATTAAAGTAGTACTTACAAACGTTCTTTAAAGAAAATGTTTTAAGGCGCTAGGTCTAAAACCATGAAGTTAATTTACTAAATTTCTTTTCAAATACCGAGGAATTGATGACATATGTCAAGGCCTAGCGATCGACTGCTCATTTGATTATGTGGCTAAATATTCTCAACAGATGTTCAATTAGTACTGGTGCGTGAGGACTCCCGATGTTAACCAAGTCATAAACCTTTAATTGTGCCCAAATTTCGGTGATTTTTGTATGTAGAATCTTAACACAATTGCAAAAACTAAAAGCAAACATCATGTATATGTATTTTAAGGTTTGCACGAATTATATTGTTTTCCTGACGACTCTAACTAAAAATTCCGAGGTACATCTTTCGTTACCGCAACGACGATATAAACGCTTTTTGCGAAGAGTGGTTTTCAAATTTGTCAAATTATAAACGCTCTAATGCGTTCTCAGAATTTTCCCGTTATGACAGACTTGTATTGTTTGACAAACGGCTCAAGGCAGGTATTTAACACTTAAGTTTGGTAAAAATCGATGAGGCAATTCACTGTGAATATGCAAATATAGGTAAATTGCAGCAACATTTGAAAATACTTCTGTTATTAAATTGTGTGCATTTCTTTTTAACTACTTTTAAGTATCATATTTAGCTTAGAAATTCCCATAGCGAGTCTATCAGCGCTAAAAATGGAATGGTAAAGTTTCCGCACAGCCCCATACTATTGTAAAACAAATGTTTTTCCAGTGGAAATGTATTGTTTTTGTCATTGTTTTCTCTATCCAAGAACTGAATGCATACTGTAGTATGGGGCTGTGCGGAAATTTTAGCAATTGAATGAGCCTTCTATGTGAACAACACCCATTTTCAGTTACGGTCGCGATAGACCGCATTTCGAATATTCGTAGTTCAACTCAGTACACTAGGAGTGCAAACTAATTGATCACTATACGCGGCGAGGCTGAATGTACATTCTCTTTAACGTTTTGGTGTCTGCAATTACATGACGAGGTCAGGGTAAATTTTCCCCCTTCCTGTGTTTAATACATCGGGGTATAATTCCTGAGCCCAAAAGAAAATTAAATTATTTTAACATGAAGAGCTGGCAGCGGAGAGGCGAAGCTGGAAAGAAAACAAAGAAATTTACGACTCTAAAAAGAAAGAAAATTTGAAGGAAACGACACCCAACTCTCCTTGAGGGAATTTTTCTCTCAATAAAAAATATTTAAGAACCAGTTAAAAGACAAGGTGCTGTCTCCGACGAATTTGTGGTACGCGATGTGTTTGACGCTTGTGGTTAACAAGTTATGGGACAAACATGATATTTGCGGAGCCTTTAAAACAAAAACACGAAGCAGGAAGTTAATTGTTCAGTTAATGTATATTCTTTTCTTTTTTTCCTGAATACTTCCAGCAATGACCACATGGTTTTGTGTATCCTCCGAGAAAACGACTGTTACAGTAGCATTCCTTGTCGTGCTTAATTTGGTGTTTTACGCGCTGATGGAACGAAAACACAACCGGTGGACGTCAAGAACATCACGATGTAACTGCTTTAGTGGTGCACAGTATGAGAAAGTCGAGGAAAACAAAGATGAAGACAAAGAACAGACTGGTCCCTCTCCTCCCCTGTTGACGACAGCGGAGAAACTTCGAGCCATCAAGCAGATCTGTCCAACAGTACTTTGCGTAGTGATTTCGTGGATGTCCGAGTTCTTGGTGACACAAGGTGTCATCACGACCTACGCATTTCCTAACTCACCCTTCCCCCCAAGGGATCATTACCAATATTACATCACCTTGTTCCTGTTAGGCGAATTCATCGGTCGATCATACCTGGCTCTTATCTCACTGATCAATCAAGACCTCATTCCCAAAGTAACAGTTCACAAGTTGTGGCTACTGACCATCATAGAGGTCAGCATTCTGGTGTTTTGCCTTTTCGCTGCCTGGTATCGTTTCCTTCCGGACATAACATATTTATTGATTATCTCCTTCCTCGCTGGGCTAATAATTGGAATTATGTACGCAAACGTACTCCAAGTGTTCACTGAATCGTACGAGTTTCCCTTGCGCGAATTTGTTTTAGGGTTTGTCGCTGTGGCCACGGGTATGGGAATATTAATCGCTGGTTTACTTGGACTTGTGGTGGAACCATCTTTTAGAAAACATTGCATGACGATAACAGATTTATCAGAATATTGTTTCACAAGAACAGATCCGAATGCAATTTCTAACATCACTGCTTCGTGTCATAATTAAAATTCAATGATAAAGAGCTTAGAAGACCATGTGAGTCGCAGAAAATAATAGGAAAACAAAACAAAGCACTTGACAGAGGCTAAATTGTTGAGTGTTCATTTTCCTTTACCTTATTGTTTCTTCAAGAAGGGCAATGTCCTCTTTAAAGCCTATTTGGTTTTGATATTTAGGTAGAAAGACTTGGGAAGGTCTTACTGCTGTAAGAGCGAGGGAATGAAAAATAAACAAATAAAATAGCGAAAGTCTACGCGAATAAGCGAGTTGATTATGTATTGATCATTTCGAAGCTTCAATATCCCACCCCGGGCAACCCCCCCCTCCCCCATTCCGTCTCCCCGGGGTTCGTTCAAATTTCCGCTCCTCGGGGTCAAAATTGTGTTTAATGCCCCATTAAAGTGCCGGATTTTATCGTCCATTTTTTAACGCAAGATCAGCGACCGTGACGTTCCTGTAGCCTTTTTCTTCTGAGGCATCTGCTAGTGAAAGTGAACTCTTTTTATCTTTATCCTTACCTTCCATATTAAAAGATAAAACACGTTTATTCCGCTGGAAAGACTTCACTTTCAGGTACAAATTCCTACCCCATTTAGGCAAGGTTCAAATTTCCAGCGCACGGCGCATTAAGAGGTGTGAGGCTTGTCCTGAGTGGGACAATCGTCGATGATGGTAACTGACTTATCGACAACAAGAGTGCACGTTAACATCACACTTAAGTGAGGAAACCAGATCTTGTGACTCGAATATGATAAAGTGTGTTATTCACTCTTAAAAATTGGTTGATTTAGGCAATAAGAGCTACAACAAAAGCCAAAATAATTCGAAAGACACCGTGCTTTCAAGAAAGCAAATTGTGTACAGACGGACAGATAGACGGAGATAAAACGACCACTCGACAATCTGACGAATATGCAGACTAAAAAATGGAGTAACCAGACAAAAAAAATGAAAAGTGTTTCTTAAATAGATTTCATTTTAAACACGACTTTTTACAAGCATGTCTATCATTCTCTGACATTTGATGGAAAGAATGGAAGCCAATAGCCTTGGCCAAGATATGAAGTAAGTGAATTCGATAGATTTTACATAGCCGTGCTTACGCGTGAGGTGAAAACTATCTTTCTAGGAAATCAAAGTAATTTGGATCTGTGAGTTTCATTTTAACTTAATGATTGGAAAGGCTCGGTGGCATTGAAAGTCAAACTCTGGTGGAATCTAGAAGAGAAAAAATAAACAAAAACATTACACAAGCAAAACAAAATTTTAAAAAATTCATTACCTGATTACTAGTACAGCAGTAGTTTGGACCTGACCACAACGTTACGCTAAACCTTACACATATAATGTATTTACATCGCCTATTGTAGCTGAAGAGTATCGAATCACCAGCTTCTCCCAGGCCAGCGGCCTGCATATATTTACGTAGAGTTCTCATTAACTTCTTGGGGCATCTCCTTTCAACCTGATTGGCCAATGGTTTGGTTTACTATACTCAATAATAAAAAAAAAGTTCTCTCCTTTCTACCGTTCTCATTTGTGAAGAGCTGCTAATGCTCACCTTGGAGTCATGTTTGTGGCCTCCAGCAGCCAGTTTAGTGACAACGAGGTTTGTCTTCGTGACTTTTAGTAACAGTGCAACCTAAAAAAATGACCAACACAATCACAAACATTAGTAAGAAGAAAACCCTTTAGGAACCTTTAACTATTTTGATCAAAAAGCTAGTTTTAAGGGAGGAAACTTTGATGGGAGCCAACCTCTATTGTCTCTCCTTTTCGCTACAAAAGCAGCAAACGAAAGAAGACAGGCTGGTTGAGCTGCGTACAGATTCGAGAAGAAAATCCACCTTTGATGGGAGAGGAGACTTATAAAAGATTGTCGCATGCGGAAAGTCTTATCAGGTGACTTAAAAACATTGGTACAAAGAAAATTGACGAGCTTTGCTAAATGGTGGTAGGCTGTCCCTCAGTGCAAATAAGTTGGTCACTTAGACCAGCCGACCACTGCAGACGATCAGGTGAGCGAAGAAGCAGTGATTGGCAGGGAAAAGACCACCTCACTTTTCTTTGTTTGACTCTCGCCGTTTGACGGTGCGAGCTCGCTTTTTTTACTCGTTTTCCCAGACCAACAACTAGCTTGGCACAGGGAGGGCAGAGCTGATTCAAAATGCTCGAAAGAAGCGTAATAGTTGAAGCACAAAGTAGTAGCTGGCTTAAACCACTCGCCATAAATCGGATAAAGAGATCAACAAACTTCAATGCTTTGAAACGGCTGGTATCCTCACCTCACTATGTACATTATTAACAACTTCAAAAATGGACTTCGCTTGCTGAAATGAATTCGATGCCATCACAAACAGGTCTGTGTTCTGAAAATAATGAGACCGGAAAATTTTTCAGATTAATCACGACAGTTCCCCCGGCAAGACGGAGGAAATGTAAATCGTTCTATCTACTATAACGGAGACTCCAAATTTCCAAGAATTCGATGGTAGTTTGGCTTCACTTCAGACTTATACCAATTCTCCATTTTAACTCTGGAAATGGCTACAGATTGCTCCGGACTACTATGTCTATTTGGGGTGCTTGTTGAAACTCAAGAGTTAACACTGCCAGCAAGATGTTAAGATCTTTATTGAGAGAGTATCACTCTGCACGGCGGCCGGTAATGGGGGATGGATAGTCGCGTGGCAGCTTATTTGTGCGGCCTCACCGCCCTCGTTTATCTAAAAAACAAACACAAAAAACAAAAAAAGTGTTTCGAATGCAGCATTATTCAATGCTGGCAGGAGGAAACGTCCCAGATCTTATATTATCGTTCAGCAGTTCACCGCTTTTTTTCTCCAGTCATGATTAGCTCGTAATGAATACTCCGGAAAACAAATTGATCGCGCTCCCAGAGGGAGTTAAGTTTACATATGAACCAATTGCCAATTCAGGTGGTCTAGGTTTACCTTTAGAAATTCGTGTTAGCTTGGCCAGAAGACCAAGTTCGCGCAACAAATACCCTGCATACCGCAAGGAACTGAATAACTGGAGAAAGAAATTGAGACTTCTTCCAGCAGGAGCAATGTTTACATAGCTGGAATTTGTTTTGGTATTAAACTTTCACCTGCGATGCATTCATCTTGGACAAGTTGCTATACTCCTTGTAGTGCGCGTAATACATCGGCTGAGGGGTATCCACAGCTTGGAATGGCATGAAACGGCGCTCATAGCGGGTCTGTAATTATGAAATGAACAAAAAAATAATGAAATTAGTTGACTGGTACTAGGAAGTACAATTAATCATAAAGATCACAACAACACGGAGTTACAGTATATTCTGATTTTTCCAATATTTCCAACGAAACGTCTTAAGTACAGAAGTAAAGTTGAAAAAATATCTCCAAAACGAATGGAGATATTAAATGCACCAACGGATGGCAGTAAAGTGAGCAAAAAAATTCCAATTATTAAGAAAGCAAATCGGACATTGTACTTCTGTCACCAATACACCGAACACACATGAAACCTCTGCGGTGTTGTATATTCCATGTATGCTTTGTGTCTCTGAAACAATTCACGGCCGAAACACGAGCAGGCTCTACTCATATGAATTTTTAATGTGATAGGTGAAACAACTAAGTTCACTGTTTCTTCAGGTGTGCTTACTTTCAAAACAACTTTTTTAGTAGTAAATTTTGACTTCTTGGTACGCACCTGTTCGGAACCAAATTTATCCGCAGGCTTTCTTGTTTTGTTTTGCATTTCAAACCCCTCAATTGCCTGTCAAAAAAATAGCATTTCAGGAAAAACACGTTAGCTTAAGATAGCATGAATGCA